AGTAGTACTAGTAGTAGTCGTCTTCGTTGTTCTTGTACTACTATTACTACTACTTACCTTTTCTTTCTTTCTTTTCTTTTTTTTGGTCTGTTTAGTAAGGATCTTTCTCTCTCTCTCTCTCTCTCTCTCTCTCTCATCTTATCTTTGCAAAGCTTTGTTTGGAGGTTGGTTTATAGAATGCTACGGTTTCCTTGTTTAAGCATGGTATTTCCAAGGCAGTGGGAAAGTTCACACAGTTTAGCCACAATCATATAGAAATTTCCATTTCATAAGAAATATTATTGAATAGGAGCAGAATGAAGCTCCCAAACCAAGAAAGGGTACAACTGAGAGCAAGAAATCTTGCCCCATCAACATGTCAAAACTTCAAAGCCCACCTATGATCTTTGTGAGAAATCCCATGAACCTCCTCTTGATCTTTTTAAGATATCCAATAAACCTCCTCTTGGGTTGAGAGTCGCTACACCTGTTGGGATGGGGGTTCCAAAACTCCTAATGACTAATATCTCTATTTTTTATTGAAAACAAAGCATTAACACAAGATTTAAAAAAACAAAAATTGTACTCCTAAATAATTTTTGCCATCCATTTTTTGATAGATACATTTATGCTTAATGAAGATATTGTGGTACTATAAACTAAGACTTTACTAAAAATAAAAATATATAAAAGAAAGTGTATCCATGCTGAATTTAAAATGCGTATAGGGAAACAGATTTTCTCATTTTTCACAATTTTATTTATTTTTATCTTTTTCCATTAATCTCTTTTTTTTAATTAATTTTCCACAAGATTTCCCACCATTTTCCAATACAATAAGAACTTCGGAAACCCCTCAGAGAATTACCGCTCAAGAGAGTTTTCTAAGGAAGAAATTTCTCACTATAACATCCTATATATGGCATTGCCTTCCTCATCACCACCAAACTCCAAATTTCTTGTTTAAACTAATAGAAAAGAAAACGCTAACCACCAATTCAACAAAATCCATTTTTTCCTCATTTAGAACGAAATAGGAAAAGCAATCCCACCAATTTAACAAATTACCCCTTTTTGTTCAAATCTGGTTTTAAACAAAAACCACCTTATCACCACCCATTTAACCTCAAACATGGACATTGAGGCTTCATGAGACCAAGGGCAAGAAATTATCAACCAATGAGATCCGCCCTCTTGCATCATGAACTTCGAGGGTTCAGGAAGCTTACTTTGCCAGCAGTTTGATCTCATGTTGTTAGATGTCAATCATTTCATATAGTCTAACTGCATCTTGAGCTTCAAGCTCGATTACCACGAGTTGTGTTCTTTCCTACTTCGAAAAGAAAGATTCTTCACATCACATTCACTTTGTCCCTGCAACCCATGATTTATTTTACTCCATTCCATTTTCATTTCTGCTTCTTAGAATCTTAGTCCTTTTTCTTGCTTTTGAAAACTTAGTTCACTCAGATTAGACCCCTAAACATGTCATTTTTCTTACTTCCCCCTTTCTGGACTCCCAAGTTTTTTCCATCTCTCCGTTTTCACCCACTAGAAAATTCAAAATTTCGGACTACATGAGTGAGAAAAGAATAAAACATTGTTCAGATGGTCTTCATCAGCTCGTCACATTCTTGCAGTTCCTTTCCCTCCTAAGATCATGGATTTCAACATTTCTGCTTGAGGGAACAAGTTCTTAAACTGTTTTGATACGACTGAGGCTATTTATTGTCCTTTTGATAAATAGACATGTTAATTATTCTGGAGTGCAAAATCCAGTTTGTCACCCAATCCTCACATGTTTTATCTGTAATCACAATGAAGATAGGTTATAGGAAAGACGAATGAAACTTAAGGTGCCGTAGACTTCCGGTTGCCAACTTTTCCATTTGCAACCACAATGGCCAAGTTATCATGCAACAGATTTTTCCAACTAGGAACATAAGTGGTACCTAACAATAGTTCTCAGAAAAAAAAAAAATGTGGTACCTAACAATCAAAATCTCCCCTATATTCCAGTTTCCACAAAAATGAGGAGTCCCTTGAGCCACCAACAAAATTAAGGAGTCCCTATGAACCACATACAAAATTGAGAAGTCTCTTCCAACCATTGACAACATTCAATAATATGTGGTCCCTTAAAAAGTACCCTAAGCCTGTTACACCTATAGATACCACCATCCTTTGGCACAACCATTAAATTAACATTTAAAAATTGGAGTTGAAGTATTGCACATGCTATAGGCATGGTACATTATTTGTATAAGTGAACCTCATCTTGGTTCCTGAAGATCCATTGTTTTAACTATACCACACATCCTAGAGCATATACAAGACATAAAACAAAAGTTACAAAACAACTTTCTAAATGACCTAGCTCTAATACCAGACTCGTATGACAGGATTCCTCCTCCCTCCAAATAAATCTTTGCAAGTGAGGAATGAATTCACAAATCTGCTTGCAATTCTATGCTTTTCCTCGGTATGTTTCTTTGTAATTCTCAATTTGAGAGAACCGAATCCATCCCCAGAATTATTGGTACTAGAACCATAAAGAGATAAACCTATTGGATCAGAACACAAATCAGAATTCAAATGGATGTCCTGTTCGAAAAAGCAGCGTTCCATTGTTATGTTGTAAGAAAAAATGGGGAAAGAAAGACTTCTTCTTTCTTTATTGATATTGAAACGTATTAGTTCATTCCTACTAACTACTACCTCAGCCTTAGCTGAGATAGGCAGCGGTCCCGACTCCCCCTTTTCTCTGTCTCTCATGTTCTTCCTTGTCCTCTCTCCAGGACCTTCCATGAGTAAAAGACACAATTTGTGCACGTCTTAATGTCACCAAACCTGCCAATGCTTCTAGCAAGTATCAGCAAGCATACCTTGAACCTTTATGTGTCTAACACGACCATGATGTGTTAGATATCAACATGTTTTCCAAATTATAGACACATCCATTTCGACAATCACATCTAAACTTAGATACTCCAAAATTTTAGTCACATATTGCTAGACATCCGCATGCTTTTCTAGATTTTGGAGTTGCCTGTCTAATTTTAATCAAATTTTATTGCATTTACATGAAAATCTACAGGCATCCCATGAGCAGACACATCAACATGTCCATGTTGTACAGATTAAAGACATGCCATGTCTGATGCATCATTGTCAAAAGAGCTCTACTTGGTCGGGGCTGGGTTTTCGCGGGATGGGGAAAACCCTCTCTCGAACAACCGCAAGGGCCTACGAGCTTCTCTAGCATGCGCATGCGCTCTTTTGCGTGGATAGGAACCAACAATGAGAAAGATTTTAATAGACAAGGATGCGTTCAAACGCCTACCTCGCTGTTTGGGGTTTGGGGATACGCCCGGGCAGTTGCCCTCTTAGAACAATTACGAAGCCCTCCAGCTGTTTGGCAGCACAGTTTGGATGCGAACCCTTCTCGAACTCAACACTTCATCTCGGTTCTTTATCTCAAAATTGCTATAGGCATTCGAATGAAAACACTCCTATTTAATGGTGTAATTGAGTGGGTGACTGGCAAAGAGATGATGAAGAAAGGAGAGTGATGGAAGCTTCTTACAACTTTGGCGTCATTAAGCCCGTGATTAGAGCAGTCAAAGAGTCAGAACTCTATGAAATGCTAACTCAAGGTGACCCCACCCGAGTGAGCGCGGGCAAGAGCATCAATATCTCTTGCAACTCAACTCGATTGTACGGAATGGAAGTTAGAGCAGCGGTCCGAGAGATAAAACTCTTAAAACAACTCTAAATGGCACCAAGTCAAATGCTCAAGTGATGGAAGAAGCTACCAATACAAGGGGATGGAATTAGGCGAGGGGTTGTAAAGATCAAGGTTGCTAGAATGTGTGGAAAGAAATAGGTTCAATGAGGTAAAAAGATGGGGCCCACTTAGATTAGGAATGGGTTTGGAGGGTTGGGGGGATAAGACAAGAGGCAAGTAGGAGAAGGAGTCGTGTTCACAGGGCAAGTAGGAGAAGGAGTCGCGTTCACACTATGGTGCGAGCCCGGGTTCAAACACAAATGAGAGAAGAAGGACAAGAGGGTAACAAAAAGGGGGAAATGACCGAGCCTGCCTCTAGGTGCAGGCTCAAGATTGACAAGGGGTTTGAAGGGGATCGAGGCAATAAGGGGGACGCAATTTTCGCCCTTAGGTGCGGCTTCGTGCCTGGGATGAGTGAGAGGGTGAGCTGGGTGAGCTGGGCTCGCACGCAGGTGTGGCCCGGGCTCAGAAACGAGAGAGGGGAACGTAGAGAAGAGAAATGTCGAGTTAAAGAGCCGAGGCTGCTGTTAGGTACGGCCCTGAGCATATGTGTGAAACAAGGGGAAAGAGAGGAAAGCAAAAAGAGAAGAGAGGGTGAGCAGAGCTGGGGCCGCTGTCAAGTGCGACCCTGAGCTTCTGCGTGCAACAAGGGGGAAAGAGAGGGGAGCAAAGAGATAGGGGAGAGTGGGTAGATCTGGGGCCACTGGTAGGTGTGGCCCTGGGCGTCTGTGTGCAACAAGGGGAAAGAGAGAGAAAGAAGTCTAAACAAAATTGGGGCCACAGCTAGGTGCGACCCTAGGCTTGGATGCAGGAAAGGGAAGTGTAGAGAGCGACAGAAAGAAGAAAGAGCAATTGTGGAAAATTACATATTAAATGAATTAAAATAAAATTTCATTTTTGGACCAAAATACCCCTTAATTCTTTTGAGCAAATGACAAAACCATCACTCTATGAAGGGCCTCTTGCCATTGCTAAACTTCGGGAGCTTTCCGGACGTTTGTTGCGGTAATTCGAGCGATCAACAGTCGTAGAGTCAATGCTTTATTTATCACGAACATTTTGAAGCCCTTTGATCGTCTTGAAACGAATTTTTCATGAAGAACCAAAAATCTGGCCATGTCCATAAGCTTCGACCACCAATCTGGTACGATTTATAACATTCTAAGTCCTCATTTCGATCACAAATTGAAGAGGACATTGTCACAATCATTTTGCACTCAATTTCGTCCGATGTGGTTTGTGTTTAAGCATATTCCAAATTTGGGAAGTCGTCGAAAAATGGGATTCCAACGACCAAAAAATCTTGCATTTTCAACCATGAAATTCACACTATCCGGCTTCCAATTGTGCACAAAAACTATACCAAATTGTAGCCCTTCACAATACAGACGCAACGGACCTTTTTTGTGACGATCCGACACCGGGATCTCTAGTTATGCCTTCACGAAGTATGGGATGTCTTCTTGCGTAAAATCTGATTTTTAAGCTTTCGAGCTCATTTTTTCTCTAGAAATTCTCTTGTTTCGGGCCACGTCATGACACGTGCCATATGTTAAAAACGATCGGGTCATGGAGACCTAGCTTGTGTCCAAATTTGAGCATGTTATGACTCAAAACAAGCAAGTTATGAGCATTCGAAAATCATCCTGAACTGGGAAAACATAGTTACCATAAATGGAAATCAGTTCACCGAGGCTGCACCGCAATAGTGTAAAACCCACCATTTTATGGTAAGTTGGGCCCATAATGGTCCTAGAAGGTCTGATTGAGCCCAAATTTGGTCCCTGGGGGTTCTTCAACGTTCCGGATCTAATGGCAGTGGTCTGGTAATGTTTTGAGGCCCAGAAAATAGGGTTGTAGTTATAAGGTCCTTTTTCAGCATGATAGGAACTGAATTTGAGAATCGAGTTTCGTCGTGATCATATCAAAACTTATCAGAACGTAACGAAACTTTGTGAGCGTCCTTCGGGCATCCCAAACTACCATTTTCATGCCTTTTGAAGCCGTTTCAGTACTCTTTCAAAGGTTGCCCAGTTTTAGGCTTATTTTGTAGTATTCCAACGGTCTGGCGGTGTCTTGGGTAACGACAGGACCAGGTTATTACTTGTTATCTCCTTATGCGTCTCGGGGATGCAAGTACGTCAAAAGCGATGTATAACACTCTACTGACAACGATGTGTCCTGTCAAACACAGTGAGACACACGTCTGTGTGCTTGTAACATAGGTTGTGTCAGAGCTTGTAACAAGCAACACCTACAAAGATTATTATTCCCTCCCAAGCTCCTTCTATTCCTTACTTCTACCACCAATATCCCCGTGAGTATCCAAGATTCTCATTAGTTTATAGTAAGAATACACTGAAAGTTGTGTGCCTCCATAAAGTGTAGTTAGAAGCTTCTCTCATTAACTAACTACTTCATTGTAAATAGAAGAGTTTTGTTAGCCTACTCCCTTGATGGTGAATTCTCTGAGCCTACTCAACATTTTGGACATCCGATACCCTACTCCCCAATATAAGTAACTTTTTGTCTATTGGTATTTTGGAAAATTAATCAAGGCTAAAGTAGAAATTTTTGGTAGAGACAAAAATATTTATTAACTATCATAGGGGAATAACATCACCCACATTGGTTGTCACATTACCTACATGGAGAGTTAATTGCCTTTCCACAACCAAAAAATATCATTATCATATTCCAAAATTATATATTCTACGCTCACTAATGACAAAAAGTGCTCTTACTTGAAAAGCTTTTGTATTAAAAGGGAATGCTCCATAAGGGGAGTAACAACACCCTAAATTTAAATCTACAAGCACAATAGGTCTTCATTGTAGAAAGTTTCATCTCAAGACATTCCCAAAGGACAAAAGTTCAAGATTATCCAGCAGCCAAATTAGAAGTCAATAAAATCTGCAGTAGCAGACATCAAAACAATATCAAAAGGCTTCTAAGACTGATCAATCCAATGATCTGATTAGATTACATAGGTTCAGTTCAATCAAATCTGATTTTCGTCATCACAAGCTGGAATGCAGAATGAATGAGGAAAAACTCATTGTACTAGCTATCCATCACCTCAAGATTTCAAACGAAAAGAATAAATATGAGAATTATATCTTATCATTATAAGTGAACTTCATTATGTTAATATTCCAAGTAACTCTCAAAGAAAGGACTTCTTGATTCACCTAAAGACCATAGAAATCATAATATGGTATCTTTTTCATATTCCAATGAAAATCTTGCCATATTTCTACAGTGGAAGGCAACTGCTTAAGTTTGACATAAAATTTGGGAACTAAATAATTACAAAAAGATCCACAATGCAAAACTAGAAAGCACACCATAATGCCAAAATAATCAAAGGAATTTGGTATGTTTGGTTTGCATGAAGATATTTCCCATGAAGTATTTTCATGTGAAAAAATTCCCTTATGCTGTTAGGTGTCGGAATATTTTCACACCAATTAGCTGTCAATTGGTGTGAAAAGATGTACTGGGACCAATTGGTGCGAAAATATTCCCACACCTAACTACATGAGGGAATTCTTTCACATGAAAATATTTCCAGGGAAATATTTTCACATAGGAAATATTTTCACATGAAACAACGTGCCTTTAAAGAAACCAACAAAGTGAAAAGAAAAGTATGATACTCTTAGAGAAATAAAAGGAAATGGGGAGAGAGAGAGAGAGAGAGAGAGATGTAAATGAGACTCGTTATTCATTTCATTCTAGTACCTCCAGATGGAAAGAACATACATAAACACCTCATATGCACGAGAGATAATCGTCAAGTCTACTGGAGTGCTATTGAAATCTCTATTCCAAGTGATGCAAATATCATGTGTTCAGGCAAGCCTATCAATTTATTGCGCCTACAAAAGGTTTACAATTGAGTGTCCCAAAATATGTGTGTCGTCAACGTAAAACTACTATGCATTGATAGCCTCAAAAAGAGAAAAAAATGAAGAAAGTATAGAAATAAGTAATACTAGACTGACTCTTGCAAATATAGTACATCAGCACAAGTCAAATTGAACAACTTGATGATCTAGTGTCATATCTATACGGTTGTCCAAAAGCTAAAGAATAAGGCTGTGACGAGAACAAACCTGTGAATGAAAGGTTGATCAGCCCTGCAACATGATAAGAGAAATGAAGAGTTAAAACATGAGAGAAAAGGTACATCTCAATACCCATAAATGAAAACAATGGAAGAAATACTAGGAAGGGAGCAGATCAATTATGCAAAGCTTTCTGGTCATAAATGAATGATGAAATTCACTGGGGTACCATATTATAATGCAAAATAAAAGACAATGCAAATTGGTGGGCAAATAATACCACAAAAAAACAGGTAAAGGAACAATAAAGATATATATAAAAAAAAAAAATCATCAATGTCACTCATTCAGCTTACATAACACATCATTATTATGATAAGAAAGTTCATATACGAAAATACTAGATAAATTCATCTCAACAGGGCCAGCTCCTAAGGGAATCAAACCATTCATAGAGAACTGAAAAGAGGGATTTTGGAACACATGAAGTAAACAGAAAGGCATATGTTTCTCGTGAATCTAGTGATTATGGCTTTGTGAATCAGTTCATGGTGATGAGTTTTTTAGAGAGTGAATTTCCTCGGAGAAAATTTTGCCACCAAACAAGCCAAATCATACAAACATAAAAGGACATTTTACTTTACCAAAGTGGTTCCCAGGAGTTTATACGAGGGACTTTTGCATCATGTTTGGCCTCAAGGTCATTCATGAGAAATCCCACTGTTTCTCTAAGATGAATTAATCTTCTTTTCTAAATACAACTATAAAAAAATAAGTCAATTTTCATCAGTAAAGAGTTTTAAGGAGAAACATAAAGAACCCCAGGCGTATTTCTTCCATATTAGGAACATGGACTAACTTAATATCAGTGGTCGCTCATCAACGTTGAAGGCTCACCTTGTGCAATTGAGGAATAAATTCTTAATGGGCATCCAAAAACTGTGTGTTCATACAGATTTTAAAAGGACATCAGTCACAAAGATAGTCACTTATCGAGTGCTCCCAAGCCTGCAAACATCATAAGTTGAAGAGCATATAGGATTCAATCTTTGATGCCCACTTCTCTGCAAACCACACTATATATGTGGTGCAGGCTTCATGAGAAATGAGGTTCAAATAGATCTTAAATGTCAAAATTTCAATTTCCATTTTCTTAATATGCATCAATCCTAAATCAAAGGATTTCATCATGCACAGAGAATCTCCTATTTAATTGATGAGTGAATTGGGGATTCCCGCTGTGACTAAAGTCCATATGAATTAGTGAATAGACTCTAACAAGATGATGCATATAAGCTTCTGCAGCCAATTCTCCCTTAGTTTTGATCAGTGGTGGAAAACTTGGGTGAGTCCAATCACTGCGCCTGGAACCAAACATATAGGAATCGGCCAAAATTTGGCTGGATCCCTATACTGTAGGTCTGTAATATTTCTTTTGTTTGGAATCACCGAGTATGTGACAAACTCAGGTGAATTATTCAGATCTGACAGGCTCTGGACCCTAGTGAGTTCCAACATGAGTCCTTGTTATCCAATACAGGTTTTGAAATGTGAAAAGGTTCCAATCAGAACTAAGAGGAAGCCCACTCTTCCTTTTATGTAAACCAGCATCTACCAAAGTAATCAGTAAAATAGAAATAGCAAAGAAAAAATAGTCAAGTACCAAAGAGATGGACTTGTACAGATACGATGGGGATTTCTAATCTGTAGTATTGCTCGTTCCATACAGAATTATAGTATCCTTAATGAAATTGTCACAATGTGCAAAACCGGAGTCACTACAAAATTAGTTACAAAAATGTATTGCAATAACTAATCTATAAAATATAAAGGCCAATCAATCAATTCATAGCCTAATAACAACTTTATCACAGAGAACCAAACAGTGCACATCTTGTATAAGATCTCGAACAAAAAGAAAAATTTTCAATTATTTCTCTGCCAGATCAATACGTAACCAAAATTCACTTCTTCGAAAGAAGCTAAAAAAATACCAATGATTGCCAAAAACAAAAAAAATACCAATGGTTAGCAATTCATCTTCAACTTTAACGATAATTCACTTCTTCGAAAGAAACTAAAAAAATACCAATTACTGCCAAAAACAAAAAAATACCAATTGATTGCCAAAACCAATGAGCTCTAGTTGAAATACAAACTAAAAGTCCACTAACCGAAACTCCTGCCATCCTGGATGGCCAGATCATAGCATAACCACCAGAACCACAAAATTGGGAGAAGGAAAAAACCACTGAATTAAAAGTTCACAATTACAAACAGACAGTTCTACTCTAATCTGAACTCAAAAGAATCTTCATTAATAGGTACTACCTCCAAACTAAATCCACTATACATAATTACGAAGATCTGAACTTGGACACCAAAGCACAATAACATAAGACATAAAAATCACCTAAGAAATCAGTAAATACTACCTGAATTCACCACCAAGGCAAGCTATGACCCACTCCAAATACATACCAAAAACTCAAATAAAGAAACCCAAATACTATTGCCTACAAAGAAATTACAAACTCCTAATACTCGAAAAAAATTGAAACAAAAGCGCAGAAACAGCAAAACAATCACAGTAAATGAAAAGCAACAATAACAAAGAAATCGGAAGCAACAATAACAAAGAGAGGGGAAGCAACAATAACAATGAAATGGGAAAATAGAATAGAAGAAAAAGAGAAAGAAGATGGTTACCAGGTGCAATCTTGAGTAGAGATTGAGGGGCTGGGCAATCACAATTACAGGAGTCGCAAGAGCGAGAATTAGATGAAATATTGAGGGAGTTTTGAATCAAAGAGATGAGAGGAGGGGCACAAAAATAGATAGCAGATGACGCAGCAAACAGAAGCAAGCAGATCCTGAGGCAAGCCCCTGACCCGCTACTCCTCGTCATCGCATCCACCGAAAAAAACACAGAGAAAACCCTAATTTTCTCCCCGGAGCATTTGATGCATGGATGGGGTTCTAGTTCTAGAGGATATGGTCAATATTTTGGAAAGAAACACGGAGATTTCAGAAAGCATTTTTACTGTACATGCTTATAGAGCGATTGCAGTGCAGTATTTAAGACGCAAATTTACTCCAGTTTTCGGCGGATATACGCGGAGATAGATGTAGAGGGAGAGGGGAGATGTCTGTTCGCGTTTCAGAATGGAGTTTCTGTAAGGCCTAGGCTATACGAAAACAAAATAAAGTCCCACTTCAAAGGCAAATTAGGGCCCACATCAAAAAATTTAACTAAAAGAGGTTGTTTTTAAGTTCAACTATCTTTAAATTGATCATCTACGCATTAAGATGCATGTACATGAGAAAAACATAGATTTCAAATTTTGAGAACAATTTATAACACATTTCAAAACCGTCAATTTTCAATATTTTCAAGTTTTAATAGATTTGTTCAATCTACACTATTTTTTAAGCTTTAAATTTTATAATTAAATATAAAAATACATTTTAAGGTTATCACAAAGATTTTAAGTATTGAAACTACATTTTTTGATACTATTTGAAGGTAGGCTTTACTTTGATTCAATGGTTTAAAAAACGGATCGGTGATCCGGATCGGGCTTCCAAAAAACCGATCCGGATAGGTGAATCGGCTATCCGGATCGGGAATCGGGTGAATCGGTCAGAATAAAGCTTAAAAAAAATTTGAAAAATTATTAAAATTCATTATAAATATTGTTTTTTAGGAATTCAATAAAAAATGAGGGTACTCCATTAAGAATTTTCATGTTTTTGAATGAGTATGCGAATATTGATATGTTCTTTCCCTGCATGAACCGTCATTCAGCATTTAATTTACAGTATTTCGTGCTCATCCCTACACTGTTGCTGTTGGGACTCGATATGTGAATAATATGGCTGGGATAGGGTGGCCTCAGAATCATCATCTCTCTCATTTTCTTTTTGAATAATATGGATTAAAAAAAAAATAACAAATTTTCAAAAAAATCGATCATGGATTAAAAAAAAAATCACAAATTTTCAAAAAATTCTATCATGGATTACAAAAAAAAATTCAATCATGGATTAAAAAAAAAAAATCACAAATTTTCAAAAAATTCAATCATGGATTACATAAAATTCGATCATGGATTACATAAAATTCGATCATGGATTACAAAAAAAAACAAACAAAAAAAACAAAAAATTCAATCATGGATTACAAAAAAAGAAAAAAACAGTTCGATCATGGATTACAAAAAACTCTATCATGGGTTACAAAAAAAGCAAAAAACAAAAAGTTCAATCATGGATTACAAAAAAAAAAACAAACATTTCGATCATGGATTACAAAAAAAAAACAAACATTTCGATCATGGATTACAAAAAATTCTATCATGGGTTA